TGTTTGATACACTTGTCACTCGATGTTTGAGAACCTCTCCGCCTAGTAAGACTTTGCCCAGTATTGCCTCATGCGTTGGCCGTTATCCATTAGCGCCGATTTCAAATTGTAAATCATAAACTACGGTAATAGTACAGATAAATAAGTATTAATAGTAATAGTTTATTTTTACACTTTATTCTTTCTATATAATGGATTTTATATCACACATTTTATTAAAAAATCATTTATGAGAGATAATCATACCTAAATTAAATATATGTATTTATTAAAAACTATATACTTACATATTCATCATATTAAATTGTCATCAAAATCATTAATATTTTTGCTTTATGGGAAATCTATAATGTGATTTTTCTAGAATCTATGAACGAACACTTTGAAATGTTCAAATGATTGGACTTTCTAAATAGAATTTATTGGATATTGTAGGTTTCTAAAATATAAATTCCATGTTAAAATCTGATATAGAAATTTATTATATCTAGTCAAGTTAGTTCAAATTACATCCAAATTATGTTTCAATTTCGGAGTTCTTTTGAAAGATTGTATAATATTTTGATTTATGGTCTTAGTCTTTATTTTTGATCTTGAATCATTTATCTGAAAATTGTTAATATTTTGCTACAATATTTTTTCTATTAGTAAATCTATTGTGATTGAAACGAACATTTAAGGTTGAAGAATCATCTTGATTAGTGTCTCTGTGTTGGCCACAAAGGGTCATGTGGGTATTCCAATGCTTTCGTTGGCATTCATGATCACAGTATGATGTATTCCAGCAACAATAAAACTGAGCTTCTTTCCCACAATAAACACACCTGCGGTTTTTAAATTAATTGAAAAATCTATTCTAATTTTCTTATAATAATGCTTACCATTGCTTGCTTTTAGCTTCTTGAACACACCGAATTCGCTCAGCTTCTGCCTTCTTTTTGTACTTTGTTATATTGTGAGCATTATCTATTTCAAAACTATTTCTTATTTCTAATAATATAAGCTCTGTAAAATGAAATATTCAATTATTAATAAATTGCGCTCTATTTATTTATTACTGTGAATTATTTATTTATTTACACTTTGAATTAAAAAGCAAAATAAGCAAATATAAATGTTTTTACAACATTTATCACACGGAAAAATAAATATATTTCGGCATGAGTATAAGCGTGAGTAATTGCAAACATTTTTTTTTTCAAAAAATAAAAGAGTTGAACAAATTACAGACCAACATTAAACTACTTAAGCTCACATTTCCTTACATTAAAACTCAGCTACAATTAACAATGCACTAAGAGAAAAAATTGTGCATTTAAAATACATAAATGAATAAAATATGTAAAATTGTTATTTTTTTGATGTCGTTCTCATAGAAAATTATTTACCTGTATTGTGTTTTATTTCACTGAGTTCTTGCTTATGAATCCACTTCAAACTTTCAATATCAGCTTGTAATTTTTTAACTTGGGCATCTGTAGAACCAGCATTGCCAAAATCAACCAATGTTTGATGTAGCAAATTTTGAAAATATCTTGATAACTGCAAAGTAACTAATTAAAAATAGTTACAACTCATTTAAAGATTATTAGGAATTTACCTTAAGTGCATTCTCATTTATAATTTGTGAAACTGGACCACATTCTGATGGAAAACTTGTGTTTATAGATGTTGATAATGGACCGAAAGTAGTTCTATTTTCTTGCTTTTCTTCAACAGGTACATTCGTGTGTCTGTAATCTGTAAATAAAGTTATCATATATTAAAAAAATACATGTTTTGAGTTAATTTAAAACATATTTTATTGGCATGTAAAAAGTGAAGTAGTAATTGTAACTTGCTACAATCAAATACAAAATAAAAGTTGTCCATATTGAGTGTCTGACATTTGTTTTTCAATGTACTTTTTGATGCTAAACATGAGTTTCAAGTCAAAATTAGGGGTCAAACTGAATTCAGTTTCCGTTTGTAGAATCCTACAGCAACTCATACATATATATTTATTCCCTATTGCCCCTGCGTAATCTGCAAACATATTTGCAGTTATTTGAAAATATGTTTGTTGATAGCTACTGGATTCTACAAAAAGAAACTCAATAAAGTTGAAAAAAAAGGTTCCAGAAATCTGTTGCAAGGTTAAGTAAGGTAAAAAGATCCAGAAAATAATAGAAATTATAAGATATCATCATGTAGGAGAATTACTAAATCGGAAACTTTGCCTTTTTTTATTTTTTTTTTTTTTCATTTTTTTGCAGTTTGGCTCCCAATTTTGACTTCAGATTCGCATTCAGTATTAAAAAATACATTGGAAAACATATTGCAATATTGCAAACCCAATACAGACAACTTTATGTATTTGGTGGGCCTATATAATTAAATGAAGCAATGCAACAACTTACTATGCTCTTCTATGAGATCAGCACTTTTGAAAGCTGTACTATTATCAATTGTGGAAGAATTATTTCTTGGAGTATTACAAATCTTAATAGAAGCTTCTTGTCTTTTAGGTAACACAAATGCTGATGTTTGCTGTTGATTTGAGGATGCTGCTGATACTTGATACTTTGCTTCCACTTTAGGTGCTGTAGAATTTTGTGGTATATAAACCATACTCGCAGGATTAATACTTCCCGACTCCTTTGAATTATTTTTGGTTGCAGGCGATATATTCATCTTGGGTTTATTGGGAAAAGATTTTCTAGCAGATTGCTTTTTTGTAGAATTATCAATATATGCCTCAGTAGTGGATTCTGATGCATTATATGATTTATCGATATCATAATCATCAATTGGTTCAGTTTTAATTTCAACATCTAATGAGGATATTGTGCTGTCAGGTATAACAATAGCATTGCAAGGGGATGCCTTTTTAATTTCAATATTACTTATTCTATGCAAAGCATGTTCTTCCACTGATGATTTGTTATTAGTTTCAGTATTAGAATTCATTTTTGAGATGCTAACCCTTTTTACAAAACTGCTATTTTCTTGTATCATATTTCTTTTCTTTAATACTACTCTTGCAATAGAATTGGTTTTTATGTCATCAGTATTTTTATTTGTGTCAGGGCTCAATTTATTACTAACTGAATTTGATTTCGACACCCCCATTATACTAATTTGAGGTAGCTGGTTTACAATGGTTAGGGTATTAACTGCATTACTTTCTGCAACTTTATTGGGATTCAATTCATGCTCTGATACAAGGCAGTTAACATCTTCATCTTTATCACTTTTATTATCAAGTACTGAAACACTCTGACTAATTTCGGGAGTCTTTTCTTTGGAAATTTTGCTGACATTTTTAGTGGGTGTTGCTGATACAGTTTCTTGAATATCGTCTGGCTTAATTTTTTTCTCCTGCACTTCTAGACTGTTTGTACTTAGTTTTCTTTTATTAGTTTTACTATCATTATGCATCATAGTATCAGTAGCTTTTGTGTCATTATCGTCATTTTTTTGGGATGAAAATTCAGTTTTCATAGGTTCTGGAGATTCTATCACTTGATCTTCCATATGTTCTTTCATAATTTTTATTACCTTTATTTTTCCTGTTGAATTAATTTTACCACCTCTCATTCTAACACGTGCACGCAAAGGTGTTTGTTTAATTTTCATATCATTTACATTATCAACAGATTCATTTGATACATCTTTTAGTGCTTCCTCATCTTCAGTATCATATCCTTCAATATAACTATCCTCATCTAACGAATTATTTATTTTCATGTTACCTTTTGTGTCCTCTAGTAGTTTATCCGTTATGTCACAAACTTTTTGTTTTGTTATTATTTTTTTATTTGCAATATCTGATTTGAATTTATATGAAGGTAGCATTATACTATAAATAGCTGCTTGATCATTAGGATATGGAGTTTTGAATGGTGCATGACAAAATTTTCCAAATTTTTGCTCAAGATTTTTCACATATATAGCTAACTCCTATAAATACATAATAATGAGAATATCAAATAAACATTATGTTTAATATTTCAATCATATAAATTTGACATATATCTTCAAAATCTGATTCATTTCTTTGATATTCAATATACTATATACAAGTATATGCATTATTACTATAAACATACATAAAGATATCTCACCACAAAGCAATATATTTCTTTATACTTTTTCATATTAAATTTAATGCTTTAATAAGATTAATCATTAAAAAAATGTGACTTTGATATCAAAGATTTTACCCCCCCTTCGGTTGATTGAAGGTGATATAATTAAATATTTAAGCATAAAAACCAAAATATACTAACCCTAAGTGATTCGATGAAATCAGAGCGTTTTCCTTTATCACTGAAATTTGGATCTTTCTCACTATAAAGCAAGCAATCCTTCATAGGTATCCATGCTTTATCATGTGCTCCAAAAAATCTAACATCTACTAAATTGCCATTTGATACAGTCATTGCTTTTGCTGGCCAGTACGGATAACCTGTAGTAATAATTATTATTGAAAACTATTTAATAGTGATAACTAATTACTAAATATGAGTATATTTTATAAATGTATTGGTCTAAATCATTTAAGTTCAGAAACTAAAATCAAATTGAAAACTATTTTTATATACATAATATAATTTTGCTTACAAAGAGGAATAATTCGGTAAATATAAAAGCAAAATTACCTTTCAATTTTGCCCAAACCAGCATATGTGGATGTGAACACACCTCAAGGAACCAATTTGTATCATTGTGTGTATTTGCCTTAAGATAACATTCTGGGCATGTTTCTATTTCATTCATTTCCTGCTTACAAATTTTGATAATGCCTTTTGCCACACTGGTTAATTTTGTATGAACTGAAAACATTGTAGATTTTTTAGAACAGCTGGCTTGTATTTCAAACATCAATATTTATATATAGCAATTGCAACACATGCTGATATATTAATCATATATTGAGTAGTGATATCCATAACCGCAATACTTAAAATGAACATGCTGTGATATATCCAAAAATCAAACTTAAATCATCTCCAAGAACTTAGGTGTCGAGATATTCAATAAGATACCTTATGGATTAGATACCTTATGGAAACCAAGAACATTTTTAAAAATACTGTTAAAAATTATTTACTAAATAATCTTCATGTATTTTAAATGACAAATTATAACTAGTGGGGCGCATGGCATCTAGCCTTAAGGTAAATTGCTGGAACTTCAAATATTATTATTCTTTTAAAAACGATTAACATTTTTGAAAACAATTGACTTCAAAAAAATTATATTTTTGAGAAACTAGGAATTTGACAAAAAATTACTTTTTTTTTAAAAAAATGTTTTCTTTATTTTGACATATTTTGTAAATTCTGAACATTTTTTCAAAGCAATCGTACTGCTTTAACTGCATAGAGACAAAATGTCAAGCCTAAGCGCCGCGTCGCAGTCTAACGAATAAACATTGGTACAGAACCCATAGGAATGCAAACAAAATTTATATTAATTGTTAAAATCTCTATAAAATATCTGATAATTTGATATGCATATGTCTAATGATCATTTTTGACCGCCAAATGGCTTTTTTTTTTACTTTTTGTATTAGATCTCCGAAACCGCTGGACCTGCCTTTATGAAAATTTGATCAATTCTTCATCTTGTCAATACAACTAAAACGTTTTTTGAATTATTAAAATCGGACGCTCCGTTCTCTTAAAAACTGAGTTACCGTTTTTGGCACTTTTTGCCCCGTATCTTCGGAACGGCTAGACCTGCCTTCGCCAAAAACTAATCAACACGTCTTCTTATCAATATGAATCGAATGTTTTTTGAATTATTTATATCGGTTGATCGGTGTTCCCGAAATCGTCGACAAAAATTTGTATCCGCACACACACACATACATCCATTTTTTCGAAGGTATGCCAAAATGTTCAGAAACCTTTGAAACGTAAAGATATATAAAAATTTTCATTTTCTATTTTTTTGTGATTACTTTAACTTGCCCTACGGGAAGTTAATTATATAAATATGATGATAGTTTTGTCGATTACATTTGTATAACATGGGGTTAAAAAAAATGGCTATACAAATTCAAAGTATTTCTATATGCTTACTTGAATTGTATATAATGGAGTTGTGAAGTATCCATTTTGTATCAGCAATGAATGCTTCTGTGGATCCATATAAATTTTTTTTAATATTTTGCTCAAGTTTGCTCAAATCCATAGGATGAACTACATATTTTGCATAATCTGGGAATTCATTTTTGTCTACTGGATGTAAGAAGGGTTCTGCCTGTAAAAAAATCCTATTGAATATGGGAATATATTATACAAAATGTTAAAAGTACGTGTTATTTATATAATGTAAAAGATCATTTTTTCAATGTATAAAGGCAAATTTTTATAATTTAGCTTTAATAATTATTAAACATTTTAAAAAAATTTATTCTCCTCTCCACCACAGAAATAAACATAAATTTACATAAATACCAAACAGAGCCGGCTGGGTATGAATTGGTCTTCACCAAACTTATTGTTTTTGGGACAGCAGTACATAATATTCATTGGAGACTGTTAACACACACACACACACACACACATGTATATATATATATATATATATATATATATATATATATGTATATGTGATATGAAGTACTTTAAATAAAGGAATGTAAAATTAAATGTTATTATCACTTACCCCAAGATAATCAGTCATTCTTTTCAAAGCAAATTTCAATAGTTCACATAGGTGACTAAGAGAAACTTGTTTCATTGCATTTGATCTGAAAAAAAAATCCTTTTCATTTAAAATTGTTTATGAATTGGATTTGGCAGTGATAGTATTTCTTTAAAAGCCGATAATCCATATTTAAAGATTCATAAATACATATATACATACATAAATGTATATATATATATATATATATATATATATATTTATATGATTTAGTAGTAAATTTTGATGTTGAAATATATGAGTGAGTTCTTTAAACAAAGAAAAGGCAAAGATTTATAAAATAATCTTTAATTCCAAACGTTTCGACATTCAATTTAATGTCATCATCAGTGGATATTGAACATGGTACTTTATATCTAAAATTGTGTACACATCACAGAAATTTGAACTAACATTGATACAACTAACCAGTTGATAATCATGAATTTTTTAATAAGAAAAATAATGAGAGTTTTGTTTTGCAAAACTGTGGAAAAAATTTTTTAAGTATTTTTGCACAGATCAGAGGCTATGTAATCGCTGCAGATCCCGAGGTAAAATTGTTTTGTTTTAGGTCTCAAACATTCCGCACAACGTATTAAATCGTTGTCATTTGTAGTAAAAAAAACATGTTACTCAAGTTACTTCAAAGAGTAGACCTTAGAAAAACACGTTTCGCACAATGAACTTTTTCAAAATTAAGGATGTAATGCAGGGTATCCTTGATATATATATAAATAAATTTAATATTGAATGATGCAAGTTATGAATAAATGCACTCATAATTACAAAAATTACATGAATATGCAATAAACAGTTAATCACCAAATAATAAATTACACTAATGTATTATTTTTACATTGTTAAAATATTTAAAAATTAATTTGAAAAATTAGTATTTTAAAATAAATGTGGCAAACCTGGTGTCAGTCGTTTCTGCTTGCACTATTGATACACATTCAGGACAACACCAATCATGTAGATCAGTTATATTACCTCGAACACAACGTTGATGGAATGATCTTGGGCATGTTTTACAAGAAACACTCACATCAGTTTTGTGACATTGCCAACAAAACATATCAGCAATATTATCCTAAAAAATATTTATAATATAATATTTGTTTTAATATTATATAATAATATTTATAACTACTATTTTGCATAATCTTGATTTATATAGATGTATCGCACAGAATTAGATAAAAACCAAATTCAAACAAATTTAACAGTCATTCTACAGAAAATGTGTGATATTAAAAAAAATACAAATACTATTTAAAATACCTTAGAATTAAATAACTTTTCAAGATTCACAGATCTTTTAGCATCAGTAGGTGTTTTTAAAGATCTTACTTTATTACTTTTTGGTGTTTTATCTCCTTCATGGTTTTTGTCATTTTCATCTTCATTACTCAATATTTCTGTAGATTTCCTACCACTGTCCAATCCTTTATTTAGGCTAGGAGAGTTCAAAGATTTTCTGACTCTTTTTTTCTCTTTCACATTTGTGAACTCAGTAATAATTTTAGATTCTGCAGCAGCTTTATGCAGTCCCTTCAACTCACGACTGATTTTGGGTTTAGATAGACTGCCATCGCCTTTTGGAGATTGAAAAAGAGTACCTACAATTCAAAAAAAAAAACTTATCAAGACAAAGAATGTATTTTTATTTATAATATATATATATATATATATATATATATAATACATGTAATATATACATATGTGTGTGTACGAGTGTACTACCATTTAATTGAGAATATTACATATGTCATAATATTTTATGTTTTAGATAACCAATAACAAATAAAAACTTTTTACCTGTCTCCTCTGTGCTACTGATTTTCTCGGAACCTGAGGATTTGCTATCGTTATTAATATTTTCATCAAAACTATAATTCACATTTTTATTTTCTTCTTCATCAATTGCAATGTATATATGTGAAGTAGAATTTTCATTGTTATCTGATAGTTGTGATGAAGACGATACATCTAACGATTTATCAGTTTCATGTTCAGAATCCATTTTATACTTAATATTTTATAACATAAATCATAATACAGCATACATATTTAATAATATAATCCAATAGAATTTATATATACATTTTCACGTAAATATAAACTTGCTTGTATTAATAACTGTTATATACCACAACATGCTAAAACATCTGCAAAATAAAATTGTTGAAGAGGTCCCTTTAAATTTATGTAAAATGCATCAACATTATTACTTATAATTTCATAATGTCATTTAAGAAATTTTGAGTACTTACTATAGTGATGCACAAATAAATACACAATCGGTTCAAAAAGCATATATTTTACTCAAATGTTTTAGCTTTAGCTTTTGTCATTTCACCATTATACACTATAGACAAAATTAAAATTACTCTTTCTTCACAGATGGGGCGTAAATCGCGCAACAAAATGGTGATAAGCGGACATGTATTAAAGCATGTACCAAGCCTACCAAGAAGTATGTTACTCCACAGCCATGATAAACACACACACAATCTATATAAATATATGCTCTTTTCTTTTATATGCATATATTTGTTGGTTAATAACTTAATTACTGTCATTCAATATACCAATTTATTGATGTTTATTCATTATTATTATTGGCACTCTGTCTGAATGCAGATCCGCATGAAGCAACACAATTTACCCCTTCTCCATACCTTGGTTATGCATCACGTTCTCCTTCAAAAAGGTTCTGCTTCCATAGTTCCGTTTCCTGTGGCTCGACTTTTAATTCAATTTACTTTTCTGCCATAAGTCGTTCAACACATACAATGTTATATATATATATATATATATATATATATATATATTTATATATATATATATATATATATATATATATATATATATATATATATATATATTATTTTTGTTTCAATTAAAAATTGCATTGATTAGTTTTTAGTGAAATAAGTATACTTTTATTTAATTTAACTTTGGATTATTTAGCCAAATAGATAAATCTTAATTCATATTGAAAGTCTTATTCAAATGTATCGGGAAGTTTATATAACTTGCCTTAAAGCACTAATACTGCCTAGTGAATATGATATTGTAATTTTTTTATTTGTTTTATAAGTTTACTTGACTTATCCACATGTGGTAATTTTAAACAAGTCCCTCATAAAATTTTGAAATTCTAAACAAATAAGATAATGACTGACAAAGTACTGATAGAGGAAGTAAAGAAATGAACGGATATAGAATATTTTGGCTACTATATTAACAAAATGAGACTAAATTGAAATAAATGAGTTGCTGCACAATATTTTGTACAGTGTAAATAGAAGAATTGAATAAATCAGCTCAAAGAAAAAATCAAAAGGTTGTTGATTTGTGGTAAAATTGAAAACGCAGAAAATACAGAGCTTAAAAGTATTTAATTTTGTAAATCGAAAGCGTTAAGCAAATTTTTAAATTATATAGATACTTACTATATTACATAGATAAAATAAGATATTTAATATATATATATATATATATATATATATATATAAATTAACTACTAAATCATATAAATATATATACATATATACATACATATATATATATATATATATATATATATACATAGTATATATCCGAATACGTGCAAAAATTATTAAGCATTTTATGATTTTAAAAAATCTACTTAATTTAAATTAAGCGCTCAAACATATCGCGTTGATGTGATGTATTGCGGCGTTAAGGTGAACTACACAGTTAAGCAGTTTCTTTCTCTACTGGCGGTACAATTAAGCGCCTTTGTGCGGTCATATAAAAGACGCTACTAAATTTTTGGAGTAATTTTTTATTTGATAGAACTTTACCAAAAAAGTTCAAAAAACGTATTGATTTGTAGTAATATGAGTAATGTTACCAACCAAAATGGATCAGGTCTAGAGCAGCAGGTGAATTAAAATTATTTTAATTATATGTGTTGTCAAAATGAATGTACGGTATATGTCAATCTCAAGCCTTAATTGGTGCTTGGACAGCCAAATTCCCATGTTTCCAATTTATTGCATCAGGAAAAATATTGAGTTATATTTATTTTTAATAATCCACATAATTTGAATGTTTTAATTGATAAATTTATTTATAATTGTATCCTGTTCGACGTGTCTTACTCATGTAATGGCCGCCATGTGCAAAACTATACAATTTTTTATTTCTACATTCTCAATAAAAGGATGTAAAACTTTAAGTTAAACAATAGAATCATTTTATAATAGACAGTAGAAAAAATACATTAAGAAAATGACATTGTCAACTTATTTAACTAAATTATGTAGTGGATGAGATTATCAAAAATTGATAAATTATTTTTAATTGTAGTTTGCTGGTCTGGACTTGCAGGGCGGCCAAATACTGGTCGTTACGTGCCGCCCCATTTACGTGGCAAATTATCTGCTGCTAGTGAAAATAACCAAGTTTCTAGAAGTGACTCCCGTACTGGAGATTCTTTTCGTGATTCCAGAGATTATCGAGACACAAGGGATTTTAGAGGGTGATTATTTATCGATACTTACAAATAAAAAGTTTGTGTTGTCAAAAGTTTCAATTGCTTCCTATTTATAACACATTTGTATAAATTGTATCAACACAATTTATAATATTACATTTATTATTTTGTCAGATAGTTTTCTTTAAGTAAAATGAGAGGAAATGAAAATTTTTGATAAGTTTAATCTTCTCAGAAAGTGCTATTCCGTTTTGCTCTTTTATGATAATATACCTTGTCATACTTCTGTTTATTATATATTTGACATACATCAATATATTATTCCTTAAGTGGTCGGAGAATCGGGGTACATTACCCCAGAAAGTATATATTTTTAAATGATTTATATTCAATGTATTTGATATTTAGTCGTCCACGCACTAAGTCAATTTCAGTAACATTTAAATAGAAATTTTAGTTATTGTATTCTGTTCAAAATTATAATGGGGGCATAACACAAACTACAATGATAAAAAGAAAAGATTTCTTTATACAAAAATATTTTGGGGTGATGAATAAAAAAGTTTTCCGACCACTGCCATAACATAATCATTATAACAAGAAATTTAATTTTCACTTTTTATAGTTTGACAATTTTATGTAATTCTATATGCTATAACATAATGATAAACATTAGTCCTATTGCAAAAGATACTTTCATTTAATGACATGCAATCTAATTTTATAATTTTAATGATGGATTTTTCAAATAATTTAAAATCACGAAGGAAAGAAATTCATTTTTTTTTATGTTCTCACAGGGGTAGCCGTTCAGCGGGCAGTTTTGGATCGCGCGGTGGTGGTGGCAATAGAGACCGCGGTGCCGATTTCAGTAGTTTTAACAGAGGTGGTAGTTCCCGCGGCGGTGGTGGAGGCGGATACCAGAACGGTGAGCGCGATGGCTGGCCCGATCACCGTGATAATGAGAGAGATGCCGGAGGATGGGGTAACAGAGGTAGCAGTGCACGCGATTCGCGTAATAACGACCGCTGGCAAGACGATAAGCCAAAAAGCGCCGGAGGTTTGTATGTTATTTCAGCATAAATGGTTGTTAAATTGAATAGTGCATGAGCTTTAAAGAGATGATTTCTAATAGCTATTCACTAATTATAAAATTAGACTGTCTATTTATCGTCTGTAGTTTATTTACAAAAAAATTTTTACAGGACGTGCAGGAGGTGGTACTGGAGGTGGTAGATCCTCCGATGTGGACTGGACGATTCCGACGGCTCGCGATGAACGTCTTGAGCTTGAATTATTTGGCAATGCTAATACTGGCATTAATTTTAATAAGGTATTTAACAAATTTATATACAGCAAAACTTATAATTTATATATAACAAAAACTATTTTATACATTGTGTGATTGATTCAGACAGATTTGTAAACTTGATGTATGCATGAATACCTTCTAAAGTAGAACATAATAAGTTTTAAAATAATCAAAAATAAAATAAATAAAAAATAGACTTAATGTGGATAATCTTTACCTGCATATATATTATTGTCAGCTTCTTTTTTTTTTCAAAGTATCAATAGTTCTAAATGTGTGTTTGGGAATTTGTATTCCTATATAATCACATAATTTTTAATACTATTTATAAATATTTATAAGTTCATGGTCTCTTTATATAATCCTGTTATCATTATTTCTTTTATAGTATGAAGACATTCCCGTGGAGGCGACGGGTGATAGAGTACCTGAGCCTATCAACTCTTTTGAAGATGTCAAGTTGACTGAGATTATACGTAACAATATTGCATTAGCTCGTTATGATACACCTACCCCTGTACAGAAGTATGCTATACCAATCATCATTAGCAAAAGGGATGTTATGGCATGCGCTCAGACAGGATCTGGTAAGTTATTGTTTTTTATTTAATTAACGCTAATCAATTATGTACAGCTATTTTGTACCATATTAGATAATGTATCTAATGTTTTACACATATATATATATATGATATATATATATATATATATATATTTATATATATGATACAAGCACAAATACTTCAAATATTGATTGAGATATTTGTTATTCATTCAAACATTAACAAATTTTGTATCAAAACTTTATAAACTGATCATTTTCTGCATTTTTATTTGCTTAATAATTACATGAAATTAAATCTTGTTTTTAGGTAAAACTGCTGCATTTTTAGTACCCATATTAAATCAAATATATGAACGTGGACCACCGCCAAATTCTCGCTCATATGGCCACCGAAAACAATATCCTTTGGGCTTAGTCTTGGCCCCAACTAGAGAACTTGCCACTCAAATTTTTGATGAAGCTAAAAAATTTGCTTATCGTTCAAGTATGCGACCGGCAGTTGTATATGGCGGAGCACATGTGGGAGACCAAATGCGTGAATTGGATCGCGGATGCCATCTCTTAGTAGCCACTCCTGGTCGATTAGTAGATATGCTTCAGCGTGGCAAAATAGGTTTAGATCATTGTCATTATTTAGTTCTTGATGAGGCTGATAGGATGTTAGACATGGGTTTTGAGCAACAAATTAGGCGAATAGTAGAACAGGATACAATGCCACGCACTGGTCAAAGACAAACTTTGATGTTCTCAGCCACATTCCCAAAAGTTATTCAGGAACTGGCCAGAGACTTTCTTGATAACTATATATTTCTTGCTGTTGGTCGTGTTGGATCAACTAGCGAAAATATCACACAAAAAGTTCTGTGGGTTGAAGAGCATGATAAAAGATCATTTTTATTAGATTTATTGAATGCCTCTGATCTAACACAACCTTCTGCTGAAAGTTTAACACTAGTTTTTGCAGAAACGAAAAAGGGAGTAGATTCTTTAGAAGAGTTTTTGGATCAAGAGGGTTATCCTGTTACATCAATTCATGGTGATAGGACTCAAAGAGAACGTGAAGATGCATTGAGAAGATTCCGCTCAGGTATTTATTTACGTACATATAGAATAGTATAGAAATTTATTAAAATTCAATAGTTCCAAGTTTACATATACACAAATATATATACTTCAGTTATAAACATACGTATAAAACTCACTTTGAATATCGTTTATAAATTTCAGGCTCCACTCCAATATTAGTTGCAACAGCTGTAGCTGCTCGTGGTCTGGACATTCCACATGTAAAACATGTGATAAACTTTGATTTACCCTCTGATGTTGAAGAATATGTGCATCGCATCGGCCGTACTGGTCGTATGGGTAATCTTGGTGTTGCAACAAGTTTTTTTAATGATAAGAATCGTAGTTTATGCAAAGACTTAATTGAACTGCTTGTTGAATCCAAACAAGAATTGCCTAGGTAACTTGAATCAAATTACGTATATTTGTTAATTAAATGCTATATGAGTGATAGAATTCATATGCAATATTATTGTTATGAATTTGATTCAATGTAGTATGAATTAATTACCAGCTGGATGGATCGCGTGTCAACTGATCGTGGTTATACTGTTCGACGCGGTGGTTCTGGCCGTAACGGGGGCGGCGGCGGCGGCGGTGGTCGGTTCGGCGGTTCCGGATTTGGGTCACGAGACTACCGCACACAGCAAGGCAGTGGAAGCGGAAGCGGAGGTAGTGGCAGGCAAAGCGGCGGCGGCAGATCAAACAGCGGATATGGAGGAGGTATGGCATAATAAACGTTGCATTTTTTTTTTTTAATTATTAGTTTAATTTTATGTAAGGAATTTCATTCTATTGGATAATTTTGTATTGAATCCTGAGAGCCGCTTATTTTTTACCCACGTTTCCCATATTTCAAAATACTATTTTGGTTTTTATAAAACCGTCATATCATCTGTATATAGTCAACCCTTCTGTAATGCGGTACGAACGTGTTTACCATATCACACGGTGTTTAAATTGCAACAGACTTCCTATAGCGTTCGGCCCATAAATTTCTTCTGTGCAGCATATATATGACATAATTCTTTCGTGCCGCATATATATGACAAATTCTTTCGGTGCCGCATATATTTAGTAATCAGAGTATTGCAGGTAATTTTACTATGAGATTTATTATCGACTATTTTATTTTTTGCAACATGTTTATATAAACCAGTTCATATCATTACTCTCTAGGACATCTCTAGTTTTAGCAGTATCAAGAGCTCTTTTAAAGCACTTTCAAAGTCTTTTTTAAAAAAAATCAGCTTGAAACATTTTTTGTTGGAAAACTCTTTTTTAATCTAGTTTTTGATTGATTTTTATTATTATATGACTATATTAACTCTTCAATAAAAAGATTTAATTGAAAATATAAAATTAGTGGTATTTTTGAGGATGTACAAGTTTTTAGGAAATATTATAAATTAGTCAAATGAAATGTTTGGGCTGTTGTTGATGTTAAAATAAACTAATGATACTAAGATAAGTTACTTCATCTGCATTTTGCTCAATAATTTAAGTATGCTAATTGTTTGTTAGGCGGTGGTTACTATGGCAGTGGCGGCGGTAATTACGGCGGCAATTATGGTGGTTCTACTACGAACGCAGGTCCCGACTGGTGGAACGATAATTGATTCATTAGCGTTTTCTAAATTAGGTGGTGCGCGTCCCTTTACTTTTGTTCAATGCCGTGTTTGAAGTTTTCACACAAACATTACAGATTGCAAAACCTTACGTTTTGACTTTACTTTTATTTTGATTGTCTATAGAGAGGCGTACATGCCTGTCATTCATGTTCGATCATTTTCACTAATTAATGACAAAATATATTTATAATATTAAAAGCATTTCTCTAATGAGAAATGCATTTAACTTGTATAATTATTATTAATTGAACAGTATATTATATAAGTACCGATACATCGCATTGTTGCGTGTTTGTAGATATTAATTACTATGTTTTTAATTATAAATTAATAGATTTCTCTTTGCTTGGCCTGGTAATCACTATGTATGGAGATTACTCATTAAATTAATATATACGTAATTGTATATTTGCTTTTTTAAGCATGTTTCTATATCACGGTTAATCTTAGCGACGCCAAGCATAGGGTAAAGTTAAAAATGATTTTAATAATTATATGTTTTGTCTCAATGCATACTCTCATCAAATAGATTCAAATTGAATCATACAATCATGCATAAAGTTGCTGGCAACATGATAATGGACATTGAGCCAAACTGTGATTAATTTTGCTCAATTGCCTTATTTTGATAATTTTCACACAAGTGTGAGCGGAGTAGTTAAAACTTCATTCTATTTAAGAATTATTTATGAGGTAATTTTTTTTTTGAAGGCCTTTAACAAAAACCCCCAATGTTCACCCAATGATTATAGACTCAACGAAAATATGCAGTGCATTGTTGTTGATTTAGCCAAAAACAACTCAATTTACAGTAACGGATTTAAAAATATTTATTTTGAATGTTGAAAATTAACAGATTTTAATGCTTCATTCAATACTGCTTATTTCAACAACAATTCATTCATTTCAACAACAAAATGATTCATTTGCATATAAAATTAACTCAAATAATTTTAAATCTCTATCCTCTTGAACAATTTCAACAATTGAATGTTGGAACGATTTTTATAATGAGGATTTGAAAATAGAAACTAATTCCAAATATAGATTAAATGACGATTTTAATATAAAATCTTATATACATTAAAGTTGGCAGCATTTGTCCCGATTGATGAATATATAAAAATTTTGAGCGATACTGAAATAAAGGTTTTTTTCTATGTTGTTAAATTGGTTTACACCCCATTATTCAGATTTTAATATCATATTTTAATTGATTAATGTTGGAAATAGTTTTTATACAAAATATTTATGTACATCCTTGTACAATTTTTGTGGTTTGTTAGTTTCAATATATTTTTATAATTGAATACTCGTGAATGAAAGGGTAGAGTCAAAACACAATCAATATTAAGTTCTCGACTGTCTTGTAGCTATTCATATTCATTGTTAATTCAATTTTTGTTTTAATTGTATTGTTCATGTATGTAATGCATAGATAAATATTTTCAAAAATGTGTAATTCTATAAATTGATAGGAAATTAAAGAAAAGTTCATTAGCACAAATGAGTTTTTCTGCCAACAAGATAAAAATAAATCGTCTGTGATAAGTTGAACGATCTTAAAATATGTACTTAGGATAAAATGTTTTATGTATTCGATTTTAAGAATGTTGATATTAAGCGTAACATCATAACGGTTAGCTTTCTAGCTGCATTTATATTAAATTTTTCTATAATAAAATCTATGTTAAGGGAAAGTTATCACTTTGTGTTTTGATAAACAAAATCAAACATTATAATTCAAACATGGAGAAGTGAAATTACTTTCTCATTTTCATGAATCATTTTAAAAAATTGGTATGCAAATGTGTAACTAAACACTTGATGATATTAATGGTTATGAAAAGAATAGGGGTGAAGGGGGTTATTACAGAATAAAATAGTGCACCTGATGTTTTCACTTGATAAAAATGCTAATGTTCAAAAACATATCTATTTTTGAGAAGACTTGCTAATGAACATAGAAAAATCATTTTGGATTATTTAATTTAGAATCCTATCATACAAGTCTTCAGCTTTACAAGCAATTGACAAATGTATGAGGTGATAACATAACTATACCAAAACTAATATTCTCATTAGCAAATATTTATGAAAGTTTTTGATTAGCGCTAAAATATATAAGCTGCTTTTTGGAAAATATTGTACGCAATCTGATAAAGTTCTTAGAATAGTACAAATATGAAGACCAACTTAGAGAAAATGTGTAAAAACCTTAAAAGTAAATAATGCATTGAATTACTGAACAATGTTTTGTGCTAGACCCTTTGTATGTGAAACTCACACAGCCATATGTGAATTATTCAAATGGTCTTGTGACAAGTTGAGTTAAACTAGGCAAATGTTATTGCTATTTGTTTGCAGTTATTTTTTCTAGACATACAATTTTTAGTATTGTATTCAATGATGTTTTGTAGTAACTGAATTGCAATATATGTTGCTATGTTCATAATATGCCAAATAGGCAAAATCATTTATGTATGTGATCTTAATGGTGGGATATGAGACTTGAAATAGTTTGTTTATCGTTGTTCTTTATTTATAAAATTTAAATTAAAAATACATAAGATAATAGTGATTCTAATTATTTTGTATGAGTTTTTTAATTTGTCATGCCTTTATTTACTAGCATTATGATTTAAATTAGGACCAAGTTTTTTTCTATGTTTTTATGGCTGCAATTGATGTGGTATGTTAGAGGAATACATAATATAACATATACGAATTAATAGGACTAAAATTATATGTAAACTGTAAATTTCATTCAGATAATTGAAATCACATAATCAACACAATGAAATCACATATAATGATAAAACTATAGTGGAAAATGTTGCAAATGACTATGAAAATACCAAAAAAAAAACAATGAAATTAGACTGATTTTTTATTCTAAAACAAACTTTTGAGTTTTTATAGACCTGAAATAAACACTAAAGATTTTTTAACATTTAACAGTTAAAACATTTTAATTTTTATTAATTTTATTCCTTTTTTATAATTAAATACTTATATAAGCATTCAACTTTTTTCAAAAATATAATAATTTTATAAAGATGTTCTATTTTGTTAAAATTACATTAAGAAATTTAATAAGATTTTAAAAATTATACTGGTGATACAAAAAATTATTATTTGATATAATAATTCCAAATTTTAAATCTGTTTCTTATTTTAGTCATTATATTTGGACACAGCTAATTAGAGTATAAAAACGGTTTATATATTAAATCATAATAACCAGTTTTCTTTTTTATGCTAAAACTAACAAAAATAGTTTCCATTAGTCATGGTTATAAGTACAATAAATTAAACCTTTTCGTCTTCATGCTTTTGTAACGGTTTTTGCCGTTTTCTTGTAGATCCTGGCTTTTGTAAAGCCTTTTTAATGTTCTTTTTAGAGGGCTTATCTTCATCTTCTGCTTGTTCTGTATCTTCTTCAGCTTCTTCAACTTCCTCAACTACAGTTTCATTATTAGATTTTTTCGTTATGCGTTTTTCGTCATTCTCTTCTTTATTGGCTTCTTCCTTGGGTTTTGTATTTACCGTTTTTTTTGCCGAATCATTATTTTCTATCTTCTTGTTTACCTTTTTAGTAGAATTGTCCTCCGCTACCTCAGGTTTAATATCAATTTTCTTACTATTTGTCTTATCATCATCTTCTTTAGAGGGTTTATCATTATCGGATTCTATTTTCATAGTTGGTGGTTTTTTCGTCACCTTTTTCTTGTTGGCGAGTTCTCCATGAGGATTATGCGGATAGCTCAACCTTCTGGTTGCGTCAACTGTGTCGCAATGAATGGGTCTTGATTTTTTGCAACATATGGGTTCTTCACTAAGCCCAAGACTATGCCATTTCGATTTGCAAATTCGGTATCCAAAAAGAATCTGAAAAGTAATCTCAGTAGTTAGTAGTTCTTGAAACTTTTCATGTGCCTAATGTTTTTTCAATAATTAATTTTTTTAATGAATTACTAATTTTATTTATATATTGAGCTACTATACTGAATGTTCCAGCGATATGGCTCAAGTGTTAACTACATATTGTTGGTATCAACAGTCTAAACGTCTCCAATTTTCAGTTTATATTTACATTACGAGAAAAAAATTAAAATCCTAGGATAACCTCTGCAAAGGTTTAAATCAAATATTTCTTACCTGTACCCTAGTAGCATCTTGTAAACTACCACAAACCAAATCCAAAGCGTCGAACTCAAATGTTCTGAAAAATTTATTGCACTCTAATCGACAACGAGCTACTGAACTCGCAGAACAGGCCGTGTCACCCGCCGGCCAAGTAACAAGTGGCCTTTTAGGTCTTACATTATTTCGAGCAAATGTTGCACAGTCACATGTACCAGTAGGCAATGCCTGAGAGCTGAAATTTTATTCAACGCCATCATTAAATATATCTTATTAATAATAAAATTTAAAGTTGTTTTATATCTATTACCTAACTCCACTACCCCAATGAAGGCACAAAAATACCGTAAAGGCCCAAAATAATCTCATGTCGTCTCGGGCATAAAGCTCCGTGTATTTGTATTATTTTGTAATGAAATAAAATAATTCGTCGTTCGCAGAATTTTGACAAAGCACTGACTAGTATTTAAATTAGTTTCTGGTATATATAACCAGTGCGGCGGATATTATCTCAACGCGGATTCCATATCAAAAATAGTTTTAAATATAAGTGGTATGTTGTTGGCGAAAAATAATCATTAATGAATGTTTAATATGTGAATGTTTTCACTTCAATAATTCCAGAAATTTATTATGCAAATAAAGATTCAAATGCATGAAATAATAAGGGTAAGCCATATTATTCATAATAAAGCATTGTGAAATTTTAAATTTTATTGAAGCTTACATGTATGTCTGATATCGGTTGTTATAAGCATATTTAAGATAAATATAGTTTGGGTATTCATACTGTTGTTTTTATTGTGATAAAATTTCGTACTCAGCGATGATTGAATTCCTAACATTAACTCGATAATTTAATTATATTTATATTAAGTCTAATGAGATTTTGTTATCATTAAATAACTAAATTGGATTAATAGTAATAAATTAATAATAACGATATTTTAACATTATTGTATTTTATATTATTATTTTTGATTTTAAACAACAAATTTTAAAATTTGACTAAAAACTTTATTGATATTTTATATTTTTATTCTGTAGAGCATATTATGATTGAACAATTATATATATACTAAGGAAACAACTCTTTACGCTGAGTGTTATTTGAGAATATTAACTTTTTTTTATTTTAAAAGTAAACATAATAATTTTTATTATATATTAGTACCATTGGGTAAGAGAACAAAATTTATAAGAAATATAGCCAGGTCCGAAGCGTGCCTTGGCGTATAAAAATTGGCTTGGGTGTCTTATTATTAAGAATAAAGTCTCTTCTTTTAATTATGAGTAAAGATTTCTCGCAAAATAAAAACAATCTATGGTTTTTATTTTGCGAGAGATCTTTGATCATTTGATAATCTGATCAAATTAAAAGAAATTTATATTTGTTATAATTATATATTTCATTTTTTATTAAAATAAATTTACAATCCTTTTTCCAAATATTTTAAAATAAAAATACATTTCTTGGCATTTTTCTAGCAAAATTGGTTGAAAAAAAATTATCAGAGGCCTTTATTTAAAGGGGGATTAAAGAAATAATATCAGCATCATACTTATATGTATCCATACTTATATGTATATAGATTATGTTTATAAAGAAATATATCGCTATCTTTATTAAAAATTGAGTATTTATTCGCGCTTCGTAAATATGTTTTTTTGAAGTATATTGTAACCGAACTTTTAAATGATGGAGGCACGAATTAGTACAAATTCAATATTATTACATATATTATGAAACAAATAATAATCATGTTTTTCATAACAAATTTTGTTATCGAGAAATGTATGGTTTTTGCCAAAGAATTATTTATTTAATTACTCTGCATAATTTTAAGAAGGCATTTGCAAGTAATTTCAAATAAATTTATGCTTGATCAAAATTATACTTATTTAATATTTTTTGGTAATAATAATTGATATGTGAAATCAATTTGTGATATATAGAGAAAATTAATAAATTAATTAATCACTTTATCTTAGTTATGTTTCGCCAATTAATATGTATATGCCTTTCCATATAAATAAATAAAGTATTTGGGGATCATAAATGTTTCTAATTGATAGAAAGTTACAGTAAAAATCTATCTCTATTCTTTGAATTATTGTATATTTTAGTAATTATAGAAACATTAAATATTTATATAATATTATTTTTTAAAAATTAGAGTAGTTTATATAAAACACTAAAAGTA